TGGCAGTCAATTGCATTACAAATCAGACAGAAACACATCTCATAAAATAGCAGATGGTTATTGTGACCTTTTGGCAGGCACAGTGGACAGTAGCTAATAATTTGGCTCTTGATTAAGCTATAATGTATACCATTTTCCATATCTAAGTCCGGTTAACAGAATTCTTCTTAGTAAAGATTTAAAATTAAGTTCTTGGCATAACTGTTTATGACCCTTGGGCATGCCAATGTTTAAACATTAATTAATGACAGTAATTGAATCTTATTTACCAGGATATCCCGTCATTATGATCGGTTTCAGCCACTGTGCCCGTGGGCCACATGTGCAATTTCCCTTTTGGCCACCGACTAAGCAGATAAATGGAAATTGTGCCTCTATTTGAGGTCTGCCACTAAGCGGCTTACGAAAACAACAGGGCCATCTACTACTCGTATTCGTATGCGTGCGTGTGTGTCTGCGAGGCAAAACCCCGCAGAACATAAACATAAATAGGCCTGGACCACCAAATTTAGTTGTCCTTGGCCAACGACTTGGCTGCTGCTACTGCTGTTTGGCCTGACGCAGTCAATCGCCTTGCCTTAATCGCAATCTGTCACAAAACAGCCCGAAAAAGGCCCACCGAGCACGTAGTTGTCCTGCGGCCAGGCATCCTTAAATGCGGAATAGGTAGTGGAGTCAGAGGCAAAAGGGAAATATGGAAAGCAAATTATAGGCTTGCTTATCCTGCGTAATGAGTCGTCGTTTGGCTTGGGGAAAATTTTAAAATTGAATTTTCATTTCGACGCCTAAAGATTCCCGGAAAAAGAACGCTTCACACTTGAGTGCTCGGCATAAACAATTTATTGTCGGGAAAACAGAAGCCTAAAAAATTACAAAAGACAAAGGACAAGGGAATTCGGCTTTCTCTAAGCTTGTTTATGGTAATATTCCCTTCTAAACATGTTTACTATATAATCGGTTTGCTTAAGCTAATATGTTGGCATGATAACTTTTGTTAAATTACTTGGTAGTTGCCTCCAAGGGGCCCCTGATAATAATAATAAATATTCTCTAATAAATTGAATTATCATATTTGCCAAGAAATTGCTCAGCGCAGCTGAAATGTATGCTACATAAAACTTAACGACGCATAATTACAATTACAAGTAGCAATATTGTCAGCTATATCGTCCTATTGAATTTTAATGCCCTTTTCACACCCGTTCATTGCCATGTTGCATTTTCTGGGCGCTTCCTTCTGCGGATCCCTGACAGCTTAATTGCCCTGGGAGCCGCCCATAGAGCACACCGCCCCACAAGTCAAGGCCGCCCTCCCAATCAGACCCACTCACTCACTGGTTGTTTCCTCACTTTTATTTACACAATTGTCTTGTCTTTTGTTTGTTGCTCTCATCTGGTTTCCGTTTCGGTGTTTTTTTTCCCCTGCGTCGTTTCTGGTGTAATTGCTTTGAGTACTTGGTCTTAATAGCGTGAGCCATTTTTGTTTGTTCAGTTCGTTGCCAAAAATAAAAATAAATCCCCCGACCAGCAAAGGATTCTGAACCTTAAAGAGGTCTTTAAACTAGGCCTGAACTTGAGCAAAGGTCACAAGTAATTAACTAAACTTTAGAAAAGGGAAAAGGAATTCTTTTGACTGATTTGATTTTTGCCTCGCCAGGCGTTTTAATTAATTTTTAGCTTACTCTTCTATTTAGTTCGGAAGTTGTATTCATTTTCAGCCGCTTTAACAGCTGCCTGGGCGATTCAAGTTGCCAACAATTTTGCTGATTAGTGGTAAAACGAGGGCGGAAGAGTTGCTGGCCCCATAAATCTCGGGAAAATCTCGAGCCATTCAAAGCAAAAAGTTGTCCTCAAGATGAAATTGAAAAGCGATTATCGCAGTCGAGGCACTTGAAAACTGTATGAGTGCTCTTGTTTACCTTGCCTGGCGAGTTTTATGACACTTTTCAGCCAACTGCCCCGCCATCAAGTCGTTCAATGCCCTTGACCCAAGGCACTTACCTTCCCCAACGTTCTCCCTGGCCCTATTTATTGAGCTCTCGAGTTCGCCGCACTTGGGCACGAAGTTCGAGGCACTTTACTAATGCAAATGAGGCAAACTCGAGGGGTCCTCGACTTTTCTTAAAACCAATTAAAATCCTGCTAAGAGCACAGCGCTTAAATCCCTCTTTGCTTATCAATTTTTAATAAATAATCAACGATTTTGTTGGGCCTTTACTTTAACCGGCAGCCTTTTTTCATTGTTCTGTTTGACCTTGGCGGCTGTGTAGTGGTCAGTTCTCAATCGGAACCAGTCCGGACAATAAACTGGAAAGTGGGTGGGCATTAACCCAGAAAACCCACAACCCTTCAAAGGTTTGGTTGGCTAATAAAAGTTTCATTTTGTCAGTTGCGAAAAAAGTGACCAGTTAAGCGGTTTCGACCATGGGTTTGGTAAGTAGCTGGCAAAAAAGATGAAAGCTTTAAAAAAACCTTAAATTCATATAAAAATAAGTATTTTAATTAAACTTCTTTAAGTTGTCCTTAAGGATAAAAAATACTTGTAATTCATTTGCTATTTTTACAAGCCTGATGTAGTGTCCTCTTTATTAGTGTTATTTTATTAATGACGGAAATTCCCTTTATTCCTGTCCACTGTAGCTTGTTAGCACAGATTTGTGGGCCGTAACTTTACGACCATACTGGCATAATGATTGTCCTTTACAACGTACTTGGCTTGACGTTTATTTGAGCAACATTTTTTCGGGACTCTGACAGACCTTTTCGCTGATTTTTGTTATATACGAGGACCAGGGTATTATATGGTAGCTTAGTGAGCAACGAAAATGTATATAATAGGGGCGGAAATATAATTTTTATCTCCATCAACAGCAGGTTCGATTTAGCTCATGTTTTTTTTTCTGTGGCTAAAAAAATGGCTTAATAAATGACCGATAGAACCTTCACATGTATATATTCGGCCTAGAAAAACACTAGGATTTCTATGGGAAATTCATTAACGAAGACATCCACATGGAGGCTGGAATTCAGGCTCCACTTTCCGAAATTCAAATTACTTTGTTTACACTCACGTATAGAGTGTATTTATTTGGGCAATTGTTCAGTTGGATGGACGATTAGAGGGTCTAGTTCAACCAGACCTGGGCAAGGAATTCACTGCCAAAGTGCTGCCAATTGAGACACGCGACTTTTATTTGAGCTCTAAACGAATTGAAATTGGAAATTTGAGTTGATTGTTAGCTTTCGGAGAAGGGGAATTCGCGTGTCTGTCTGGAGGAAATTACCCGGGTCAAATTGGAGTCGGGTTCATTGGAAAGGTTGTTGAAGGTACGAATACATTCTCTGATTCAACCAGTTTCGGGTTGAATATAAAAGGTTAATTTTAAATTATCAACCATTAACTTATATTATTTTCTTTATATTTCGACCTTTTACTATTTAGTAACTTGTGGAGTACAAGGAAAAAAATAGTTAAAATACCGCAAGAAATTTAAAAGTTAATCTTAAGTAGCAAGGAACTTGGACACGGACCATCATTTGTAAGTAAATAACCTTCTGGCAAAATATATTTATCAATATTATCCCCTTTCCCATAAGTATCTCTATATGGTATATTTTTTGCCTTCTTATTTTTCACACGAGGCAAGCGCGTGTCCTGCGCCGACTAATTTGCATAAGGATCGTGGGAGGTGGGGGGAAAACAGAAAAAGGAGACGACATTTACATAATCTGGAAAGAGTATGGCATACACGGTTCCGACTTTGACGTTTATCGCATTCGCATGCTAAACAGAATCCACTATCACCTTCTTATTCTCCAGAGTCAATACGCACGGCTCACGGAGCACGTGTGGCTGCCACACTAATGAGTGGAGTAACCCCGCCAGCGGCCACCTGGAGCCTCGCAATCAGCTCTGGCGGAGCGGAAAGCAACCGGGAACGAAGAACGTGTTTAGTTTCAAAACTTGACTTAATTTAGACAGCCGGAATGACGTCATCAAGGCCTGATTTTAATTAAAGCCTCGCCAAAAAAAAAGGAATCGTCGTGTCACAAAAATGTGAAATATATCTGTAGATGGCAGCCCAGCGATATCTGCTTAGGCTGGACGTGGACCCGAAAGTAAACAATTTGCCAAAAAACAGGGACAAAACAACAGCCACAAAGGAAAACTCTTGGGGAAAATTTATTTGTTAAAGAAAAGGCAGGCCAAAACGGTCATTTGCCTCATTTAGTTGGTGCCATTGGCAACATTTTCCCCTTGATTCGTGTATCCATCCCCATTCCCCGATATCCTTATTCACACCCGAGAACAGAGCTCCAGCGGAAGTGCTCCTTGGGGTGTTCATTCGCATCTGTGAATGATTGTTTGAATAATTGAATGGATCTGACGAATTTCTTTGAGGCCAGGCAGGCGTATAAGACCACGAAGTCGGAGATCACAGGAGTTGGGTTTCCGGCGGAAAGGAATTCAGGGTTGCGCGGGCTCAAAACCCAACTCAAAAGTTTTTGTTATTCAAACGGTTGCGCCGCGTAACTCACACTAACATATAAATAACACCCGTTAGGGTGTGTCAATTACAATGAATAAAAGTTCTTGAAAGCAACTAAGTTAGAAATATTTCAAATATTTTAAATGGATTCCGGCCTCAAAAGTGTTTAAATTCATCAACAGCCGAGTATATCTGGCCAAGGCAGACAGCGATAGAGTCTAGTAATACTTTAAGTAACTAAAAATAATACAAAAACAAATGGTTTCTGAAGTAACATGCCCAAACAATTCCCTCTTATGTACATATATCATGGATTTTCCGGGTCTCCTGCAATTCGACCTACCCTAACATAAGACCCTTCCAAATTCTGCCCAGCTTATCGCTGTGCCACGCACAATTTGCTCTTGGATTTCCGCTTGAGGCTGGGAGTTTGTAATTATCTCCGAGCATAAAATTACGCATGCATATGCTGCTAATTCGCCTAAATAAAATCCACTCGAGTATATATACCGTAGTTTCATCCTCATCATCATCATCATCATCGTCGTCGTCGTCATCCTCATCGGCATCCCCTTTCTTGGAGCTCGCCTCGTCATTCCGCGTTGCCAACTTTTCGCTGCTCGCACTGCCAATGCCGCTGGAGGAGCCGCTCAGTGAATGAATGCCACTGACTAGGATGCTGTTGCCATGACCATTGCCAACATTATGGCCACTGGTGCCATTGCCATTACCGATACCGTTCGCGCTGCTGTTGCCAATGTCCGTGAGCATAATGCGTTCGAACCCGGTCGAAACGGCGAGAAGTTCCCCGCTAAATGTTTGCAGCAATCAGATCATTTAACTCAAAATTTATTCGTATTCCCACGCACTATCTATCAGTAAATCATTTATTTCTTTAACACTTTTATTGCCAATCGGTTTATTCAATTTTGTATTGTTTGTGACGAGGCTTTAACGACACACAACGAGACGTTTGATTAAGAAAAAGATAATTTAAATAAAATAATGCTAATTTTAAGTAAAAAGGAAAAAGCCGAAACAATTTTGGTTTATTTGAGTAAATTTAATTTAATTTAGGTTAATCAAATTACTTTTCTAGCTTGACAAAGTCATGAAAAGTTAATTAATAATTTTTTAAAAAGGTTTTACATTGTTTTACCAAGTCTTAGTTAAGCTGAAGAAGGAACCGTTCTTAAACTAACTTAGAATGGCTTTCAAAGCCCCTTCAAAAAAAACACAAGTTGTAGAAAAATAATATGAATATAAATAGCTCAAAAAAAAAACTAATATGGAAGAATATTATTTATTGAAGTTATTTATTGTAGTACTAAAAACGTAGCTGCGTCCGCGCTATAAAAATGACTCGTTTTGTGCTGGCGTTCGCCCAACGCGCAACTGATTTGCCGAAAAGCCACGGATGCCGACGGAAAGCAGGGAAAACTGACGAAAAGCTCCGCCAGCTGTACTTCGTTTTTCCTTTGACCCGAAGTACAATGGAAATGAAAACGAAAGCAAAAGCTCCCGCCGACGACAGAGCAACTTCTTCAGAGTTCATTCACGAGCAATGCTTCAATGAGGCCGGTCGGTCACGTGTGTTGGCCAATTTCACTTTCGTTGTCCCCGCAACGAAATGGCCAACTGAATCCGGGCTAAACTAAGGCCAAAGCTTTTGGAGCTAACATCCCATGCGAGCAGCTGTTGCTCAACTCCCCTTCTCAAGGTTGCCAGCAGGACCTTCCTCTATGCGACTCGTAGTGCGCCCTCCTGTTCCATCGGGCACATATTTCATTTGGCCACAATTAGGGGGGCGCAATAAATGTTTGACAAATTAAATATACATATTCCACCAATTGACTCGATTAATTGGTCGTTCTGTGGATCTGTCAACGGGAGGATAACAGGGCCCAATTGGAGCCAAACCGCTGACGCACGTGCCATTGCGTGCCTGTCACTATCTCCTCTCGTTTGCAGTTTCTCCATTAAAATGGTAATAAGGGAGAGAAATAATAAAACTTGTTTAATGGGAGGCAAGTTGAAAGGCCACCCACCCATCCAGCACCGGTGTACTATATGGAATATTGCTATATTAAGGCTGGTCGTGGAGATCTTCTTTGAGTTTATTTCAATTTCTAGGAATATCTATTATTGAAGCTAAATACTAAACAGCACATTACAAGTGGGGGAATTTTAAATAAATTCATTAATTATTCAATTTTACAACTTAAAAGCCTGACAAAGTTTTTCTTAAGCAACAATTATTTGTTACTTTGAGCTATTGTCAATCGCTTTTGTTCTAATTATGACGGTTAGCGGCTGTAGTTAGTGTCATGCACTTGGCTTGTTGGCTTGTTTGCAAATCTAATTCGACAGCCACGCCCCCCACCGTCCGCTCAACGCCCCAAACCATCTGTCATTGTTCGAATGAGAGAGCTAATAAATTTTACATCAACAATAAAGGGAGGCGAATGGGAAGGTGGGTGGGGATGGGTACGCGTGCATCTTTGTTGTAAAGGGAACCTGTGATTGGCACGCGCAGCAAACAAATTAGCCAGAAAGTTCTTATTGTTGTTGTTGCTGGTGTTTGGATGTAACGTTGATTACGCATACGCAGCGTGGCACGACGAAAAAAGCCATGCAGACAATAGGAAAAGTTTTAGGTACCCCAAGTCTCCCTTGTAAACATTTTATGGAAGATGTATGCAAACCAAAAACAAAAAGAATTAAATGAGTTTCAAAGTTAGGGGCTGTCGAAAGTTTAAATGAAATTAGCAGGTTGTGTGTTTTATACGTGGCGTATACGTAATATGTGTGTCATAATATAGAGTTTGGGTTTTGCCATTTGATATGAGTAACAATTAAGGATAACTTTTAATGGGGATAGACAAAAAAAAGATGAAGAGAAACTTGTTCAATGGTTTTCCCTTTTAATTTGGATTCGAGTTAAACAAGACCATAGAATAAATCTAAAAATGTACAGAATCATGCCCATGATCTGAGACCAAACACTCTCTGAACTCCACATTAATCACCTGAACTTTCAGCATCACAATCTTTATTGCCAGCCGATCATTTAGGGGACTCTTCCGATGAGGCTCCTCCGATTCAGCTTCCGCTTCCTCCGTCGGCCCTGACGGCTTGCCATTGCTGCCCATTAACCCAGCATCGGGATGGATGAAACTCATTTTTAACTTTGTGATTTGCACAGGTAATTAACAAGGAACTATTCGAGCAATCTCATGCCGAGCTAGTTGTGCAATTGGATTTTATATAATCACGCGAACACAGACACACACACAGCCCGTCAATAAATCTAAAGCGCCAGAATGCTCAGGTTTTTGGCGGGCAAAGCACTTTCACATTGAAAATATATCCAGTGCTGAATATTAATGGATTTTTGATATCGAAACGAGACGTAGCGATCGGATCTGAGATCCGAGAAACCCCACTGGCAGCGGTGCAGTGTGTGTAGGAGGCAAGGGCCGAGTTGGAACTACAAAAGAATTGGCAGCCAAAGAATTTCTTTGGGCTGACTCGATTTCCGCTCAAACAGGAAGAAGAGGAACGCGCCGAGGGTATCTATTAATATCCCACTCGTAGTACTTGTCTTCGATTCTCCCACAATTGCACTTGTCCCCTAAATCCCGAGAGATCCATTTCCTGGCTCTCAGCAAATTCAAGTTCAAGTTTGGCGAGAGGCAAGACGAAAGAGTTCAGTACACTCATTGATGTGGCTAGTACTACTTACACATTCATTCTATATCACTCTCGTGCTGCTGCCAACGGCGATCTACGTACAATTGTACACTTGCCAAAACGGCGAGTAGCAGCCAGCCAAAAAACACTCATACGCCGTGTCGGCCAGCAGCAATTCATTTCGCTTTTCGTATTCGCCTTTCGCTCTGTTTGCTTAAGTGTTTCTTTATATTCTTGTTCGCTGCTTTCATTTCATTTCGTTTATTTGACACTTTGTTTGATTTATCTTTGTTTTATTTGTTTTCGTTTTTAACGCACGACACTCAGGTGGTGGCAAGAGGCGCTGGATGGGCCAGGGGTTATCAAGATGTAAATTGATCTGATACATGCATACACATAAGTGTAATTATTAATAAACAGGTACAAGTTTCGGCACGTGACTGAATGTAAACAGGCCCAGCAGATTGTTGTTTCACTTATCATTTGGCAGGCAGCACAGCTTCCCACAATAAATGGGTAGTTTCTTATGCTGCCGCTGGCCACAGGCATTTCCCACGACAGCAATCGCTGCTAATTAAAGCTCTTGTATTTGCATAGAAAAGAAAATGCATTAGAACCATATTTTCTTCATTTGCATCCGAGGTACACGACATGATCGCGTAATACACATGATCATCGTCTCACAGTAAACATGTGGAAATTGATTTCGCCAATAATTGGAATGAATAACAAAGAGAGTGCGAGTGCGAGATTGTTCCAGTATAATGGGTTTACCTGACTCAGTAGTTAAAGGGAAAAACATAATTCTAGTGACGTAATGGGTTATTGCCACTTGTGAACTTAAAAGCGTTTTAATTACTGATTACAGTAAGTCTCAGTTGAGACTTTTAACTTTTACTTCTAATTGAAGGGTGAATTTGGAATAGTCAATTTCAGATTTATTGAATAATTTGTTTGATATTAAGTAACCAGGTTAATTACCTGTACTTTTTAGCCCTGAGACGATTTCCTGGTAAGAGGTAGACCTATCAAATGTAACTTAAACAGACTTCCCCAACTGCAAGTCCACTGACCCCATATGAATGGCAACACGTTTTGTCTGATCTTCCACAGGTTTGAACAATAACTAATCCGAGAATATATTTACTCGATTTGAATAATGCCAAGTTCAGAGAATTTCCAGGTCGGGAGACGTCGCCGACCGATGATCGGGACGCTTCAACTGAACTCTGTAATTTCCCACAGTCATTTCACAGTTTTTTTATGAATAATAATGGATATATGTGTGCCTGGTATATATATTTAGGCAGCCCTAAATCAAAAGTTTATTGTGGCAGTAGCAGAAATAAAAATGATTTGAATGGTTTAAACACTGCACTGAATATTTAATTAGTAGGAAATAAGGAAAATAAAATTAGTCTAGGAGGCAAGTTTAAACCAGTATAAATTATTTTTACAATTCACTAAAAACTTTCCTAGAAAAACCAAAAATTCCATGTTACTGGCCAGCGTTTGACACCCTTTTGTGAAGTCATAACAAAATTTTCTTATGCACTTTTAGAAGGACCATAAATTATTTATCAAGTGTGGAAATGTTATCAGCCTTCATAGGCTAAACACGATTGAGTTTAATTAATAAATTTAAAGCATACACACGCGGCATTCATTATATTTTACACAGGTGTTAATTATTTGTAAAGTCGTATTCAGGACTCACCTATTTGAGGTAACTGGTATCCAGCTAGAGAGGCTGCCCTATTCTGGTAATCATAGTTCGGCAAGGACTGGACTGCTTTTCGATCTCCTTTTCTTGGCTACCGTTCGCTGTGAACATTAAGCGGATACTGAATTCATGGCGAATCCGATCGCTCCCTTCACACTTCACCTAAAGTGCCAAAAACTCTACTAGTTTCGGCACACACACATGTCACCAACTGGCAGGCATACCTAGTATATATATTAAGCAAATATGTATGCTAATAAACAGCGTTTCAAAAAGAACGACGGTCTGCGAGCTACGAACTGCGAACTGGGTGAACCTGCGAATAAAGCGGAATAAAGCCGCTCTGTTTGCCCAGCCAATTTAGCGCTTGTTGCAAAATGTAAACCGTTTTCGAAGCTAAAGTCGCGCGCCAC